CGGGGACGGAGAGGGTTCGGGTGGGAAATGCCGTGGACAGCGTCAGAGGGCCAGCTGGCCGGTGGGCTGTGGGCGAGTCCGGCCCTTGCAGACACACAGCCCCGTGGACACTCCTTATCAGTGTCAAATTATGACAAATGGCGATGGGTAACAGTTGCTGGGTGGCAGCTGCCGAGGCTCAGAGGGAAGCAGGTATTTTTAGCACTGCGCCTGGGCTCTGGCTCCAGGTTAATTAATCATGGGGAACAGCCCTGAGTTTGGTTCTTGATCCTGGTCCCCACCCCCCATCTCAGCTTTGCCCCCATTCTCCAGACTGGAACACCAGCTCCCTGGGGGTGGAAGGCAAGCACAGCGCGCCCTTGATAGCCCTCAGGCTGCCTGCGGATACACTGAGGACACCACCCTGCGTGTCCCCACAGTGGCAGCCCTCCCTCCTCTTCCCTCCCCTTCTCCTCCTCATTGCGTCCACTCCCTGGGGCCTTTTAGGTTCCTCCAGCCCCTTCCTGCCTCCAAGCCTTTCCACCTGTGCTTCCATTGAGAGCATTCCCCCCATCCTGTCCCACCCCACACGCCCTCCCTGGCAAAGGCCCTCCTTGTGTGCCCCGCCCCAGCTCTCTGTCACTTAGCCCTGTTTACTTCCTTCAGAGCACTTAGCACCAGCCCAAATCACCTTACTTAGTGATTGCTTCACTTTATTGTCTGTCTCCTTCCATTGAAACGCCAGTGGCTTGAGAACAGGGCTCTTCTCTATCTTATTTGCTGGTTTAGTGTACGCAGGACAGGTAGTCAGCAAATGTCCCCAGTCACGCCCGGGTGGATGGATGCGTGGAAGGCTGGCGAGGTGGATGGCTACAGGGAAGACCCTCTATGGGATTTTACGATGCCTTGTATCAAGATTATTATTCTTGGTAGGAGCACATCTGGGGAGACACTGGCTATTTAGCTGCATCTTCACTCAGGCCAGTAGCCGCCAAGAGGGGGCAGAGGCCCAGGGGATTCTGGGAAAAGAATATTCTGGATAGCACCAACTGCCGTTCTCTCTGCTGTAGAGATGTCCAACCACATGCTCTTTAGTATTTGTGAGAGATTGCTCTAATTCTGTTGTGTTTTTTTTTTCTTCAATTATTTTCTTGGGGTGGGGAGAAAGACACCAGTTTTCAGGAACTCCTAGAAGACTGTTTCCCCATTCCACCTGAAAGCTGACATTAGTAGTTCATTTGGGGGAGTTAAGCATGGTCCTTTCTCTGTTTTTCAGAAAATGTTTTTAAATAATTTTTTTAATGTTTATTTTTGAGAGAGAGAGACGGAAGAGAGTGCCAGCAGGGGACGGGCAGAGAGAGAGGCAGACACAGAATCCAAAGCAGGCCCCAGGCTCTAAGCTGTCAGCACAGAGCCCGAGACGGGGCCCAGACTCATGAGCCCTGAGATCATGAGCTGAGCCGAAGTCGGATGCTTAACCGACTGAGCTCCCTAGGCGCCCCTCCCTGTTTTCTCTTCAAATATCAGTATTCTCTGTGGTGGCCTATCCTCCCCATTGCGCTGGGGAGCAGAACCCCAGCGTGCTCCTTGTATGGGGACACCTGGGTCCAGGCCCAGCTCCCACCCAGGAGGGGGCCGTGATTGGCTTGAGCCATCTGCAGGCACCCCACCCCCCAGCCAATGCTTGGGTTAGAAGCAGGGCTGTGGATGTGACCCTCACTGATGACTACTGGGACGTGGGGACATTCGCCTCACCTTGAAAGGCGTCCATGAAGGAGCGCACCTGTGTCGTGTCCCTTTTCCTGGTCTCCAAAAGGATCGACGTTTAGGGGCATCTGGGTGGCTCAGTCAGTCGAACGGCCAACTCTTGATTTTGGCGCAGTTCATGATCTCACGGTTCATGAGTTCGAGCCCCTCATAGGACTCTGCGTTGACAGTGAAGAACCTGCTTTGGATTCTCTCTCTCTGTCTCTCCTCTGCTTCTGCTCATGTGCACTCTTTCTCAAAATAAATAAACATAAAAAGCAAAGAAAATTGAGTTTATTTCACACACAGAGGCAGAGGCATGGGTGGGGACACCTGGCAGAGGCTGGGGAGGGCCCATGATCCATGCGGTGTCCACTCTCAAGAAGCGGGCAGGGCCCAGCAGGAACGTGCTCTGATCCAGCAGCGCCTGCTCCTGAGCCCCTACCCCTTCGGGCTGTCTGACTCTCAGCGGACGGGCCTCTGTGGGGTTGATACCCCGCCCGCCTGTCCTCTGTTATTCTGAGACTCGGGAGCCTGTGAACTGCAACAGACCAGGGGCAGGGAAACCCTCCTGACAGTGGTCCTGAAATGCCTTCCAGGAGTTGCTAGACTCCCTTGCCCTTGAAGGGAGCAGACAGATTTGCCTTCCTTTCCTCTGACTGGAAGGAAACTCGTGAGGAAGGCACAGGCCTGGATGATAGACCTTCGGGGAGAACATTCAGAGCATGTCCCTGCTGAGGATGCTCCGAAGATTCAGGAGGCCACCAAGCCTGGGGTCTTCGTTCATCCTTAACCTCGGCTGAGGTTCTGAGGCAATGAACCGAAAGCTCACTATAAAGCACCAGGGAAATTGAGAAATTGCCATTTCTTCTTAACTTTTGCTACTTTTCCTTCATAGTTCTGGTTACAACTGCCATCATTCCCTGTGGGAGACAAAGATAAAGAGGCAGAGAATCAAAATCAGAAAGAGAGAGAGAGAGAGAGAGACAAACAGAAAAAAGAAAACACTAAAAAAAGATAAAGCCTGGAAGACAGACACATGTTCTTCCTTTTTTTCTGGTTCCAGAAAATATGCATTGAGAACATACTACGTGCCTGACCTGTGCACACACGCCTAATGAATACACCACAAGAGCCGGGCCTGTTTTTTTCTCCCCAGCCCCCATCTGGATTCTGGGTAGGGGAGTAAAAAAAGCATGCTGTTTCCGTACAGGCCAGCAGGTGCCGCCATGTCAGAGGGAAAGCTAGGGGAGTCAGGGATTCCAAGGCCACCTCTGAGCATAAATTCTATTTCATCTAGTTTTCTGAGTGCCATTATGTGCAGGGCACCAGGCGGGACATTTGAGGATGTGTAGGATGAGAAATGCATGCTCCCCAAACTCATGGAATTTACTGTGCCATTGGAGGCTGGAAGGACAAGGTCCTAGGTCACAAAAGAAGGGAGAAGGTGGTAAATGCCTCAGGACTGGCTCAAAGGAAAGGGCTGTGTGTATCTTAGAACCAGAGGCTGCAGAGAAGCACCTTCTCACACTATACCAGAGGGAACAGGCTCAGAGAAGGGAGGTAGGTGATTGCCCTGTGGCCACACAGCAATTTCAGACTCTGATCTCCTGACTCCTAAGAATACAGTGCTCTTTTCAACCAGATATTCTGTCTCAATAATTGCAGCTGCTGTGCTATCTTGAAATTCAAAATTCTACCTTAGTTTAGCCATAAACCTCCCTGCAAAAGGCCCTCTCTGACACCTGCTGCGCTACCTTGAGATTCAAAATTCTACCTTAGGTTAGCCATAAACCTCCCTGCAAAACGCCCTCTCTGACACCTACGTCTTGGGCAGCTGCCCTCAACATGGGTGCCATGGTGCTCATGAGAGCTGACTGTGTGCGTCTCTACCCAGAGAGATCATGTTGGTAGCTTGAAACGCGCCATCGTGGGAGTAGTTACACCCTGGAAATCGGCAACAGCTGTAATCAGAGCCTCCCCTCTGCTACCCCTCCGCCCAGGTAGCTGCACACCACCGACGTGTATCCCTACTTTATAGGTAAGAAAAATGAGGCTCAGGGAAGTGAGGTCATCTGCCAAAGAGACACAGCTTATAGGTGATGGCCCACCAGAGGTCTGGCGGGTTCTAGGGTGCTCAGAGATGGTAAAGTCAAGAGAACCCAGAGCCACCTGGATGCAGAGGGGTCTAGTCTGATCCCTGGTTTCTCATGAGGGTGCTACCCCAGGGTGGCGTCATTCATTAACATGATGGCCACATCAACCTTTGGACAGATTCGATTTGAGGCACACTGTTGGAGACACGATGTGGAGGCCAGGAGAGAAGTCTGGAAAGACATTAAGATACACAGGATAGAGGTCTGTTCTTGACCAAACCGATAGAGGCCAGCTACAAACATTTTCCTTTCTTATAGGATTCGGATAAGAAGTGCCCGACTCTCCCTTCTGTATGTTTTTTTCTCATCTGTGTCGACGTTTCAGGCGTGATCTGGCAGGGCAGGGAGTGGGGCACCTCACACCCTCGCTCACACTTGTTCCCTGGGAAGCACTCGATAAGCACTTGTCGAATAAATGAATGAGTGACCTGATTTCACCCCACACATAACTGAATCAGCACTGCTGAGGACCACACATCAAAACTTCTTAAGTACATGCCTCACAACTTTTCAGATTATCTAGCATTCTGGCATCGTTATAAGAGTATGGATTTGGAACCAGAAGTTACTTTTTTTCCCCTTTTTTTAAAGCATTTTAGAGGTAGAAGTGGGCATATTTCTTACAAGTGTCCTTCTGGAATTTACTGTGCCATTGGGACCTGGAAGGACAAGATCCTAGGTCAGAAAAAGAGGGTGAAGGTAGTAAGTGCCTCAGGAGAGGTTTAAAAGAAGGGCTGTGTAGATCTGAGGACCTCGGAGATGTCAGAGAAACCGGTTTCCCTGCAAGGTGTGGGAGGGAGAGAACGCATACCTGGCAGCCAGTGGGCCTGGCCTGGCTCTGGCCCGTTTACTGCCCGGCTCTGGGCCTCCGTATGTCCCTCGGATATAAGGAGAGCTCAAGGTCAGGTTTTGGAAGGGCGACTGAAGAGTTAATATAACAGGAAGCCACTCTGGATAAGTGAGCAGACAAAGCCCTGGATAACCAACCAAGGAGGCCACAATATGCAAATGAGTGGATTGCGGCTCCCCTCCTGATTGGCTGGAGGGGCCCCGACGTCACAAAGCTTGGGGTTTCTCCACTCCAAATGATTGTGTCTCTAGCCCCCCCCCCCCAATTTCCCTGACCAGACTGGTCTCTTAGCTCCCTCTTTGTCCACACGGGAAGAGAGACTATGGAACCACTGTATCAGGCTGGGTCCATCCTCATGAAGGTGAACACCTTACAAGGGAAAAAGATGGTGGAGAGTGGCCTCCAGTCCGGAGACTTTTCCCTCCCTCAGTCGTGGCCTTCCTGCTTCCCGCCGCCAGCTGACCTGGAGGTCCTGCAGCAGAAGGTGGCCGGGGTGCACCGGGAGCTGGAGGACTTTAAGAAGGAGGCGCTGCGGGCCATCCATGACCTGGAGGACGCCTTCTGCGAGATGAACGGGGCGCTGGCGAAGCAGGAGGAGCAGGCGGCCCGCGTGAAGCAGCGGCTCCGGGAGGAGGAGGACCGCGGCGTCGTGCGGAATAAGGTCCTCACCTTCCTGCTGCCGCGCGAGAAGCAGCTGCGGGAGCACTGCAGGCGGCTGGAGCGCATGCTGCTGGGCTGCGAGCGCGACGCGCGGGGCCTCCCCAAGAAGATCCAGGCAAACTGACGCCCCCTTGCGGCGGAGCAGCCCAGTAGAAGATTTTTTTTTTTTTTAATGGAAGGATCAACCCTGAGTCCCTATCCATTTGCTACCCTTTGCCCATTCCCATTGCTTTCCTTCTACCTCAATAACACCTTGCTGAGAGGCGAAAAGACCCCAGTATGTTCTTTAGGTGAGGCTCCCCCTTGCCCAGCATCATCCCAGGAGGAGGCACCCCAATCCTTACTTAGTCTTTCAGACACCTGTAACTTTCACCGTTAACTGTTTCCTGTTTGTAATGGTAATATTGCTCAAATGTATAACATGTTTTTTAAATCTTCTTAAACTGATGTGTTGAACAGATTTACCTTTCTTTTAACGACTCAAGCCTCTTGTGGTCGTTACTTGCTGCGTGGTCTGCTGAGAGGGGTCCATCAGTCTCCCGTGCCCTGAGCGGCCTCCGATTACTTTTGTAGGTCTCATCCTCGCCCAGTGGGCTTTTCTGCCCGCTTTCCTTGTTAGACTGTCACATCTCACTTCCCTTTGCTGCCTGGGCCCAACTGTGCTTCCTCGGCTCTTATTAGTCTGCCACCGTCTGGCCAATCAGATTGATAGAACATGTTAGGGCTCAAATGGGCGGGGTCCTCAGGGGTTAGTGCGCAGACTCACTAAGACGTGCTAAGGCTCGACACCCACCAGGTGGTTATAAAGCAGCGCCGCTGATTTTTATGTTTGACCCACGGAGCAGGAATTGTTCGGTGCCCAGAAGTGTATCAGGCCATGTACACACGCCATCCCACCTACTTCTGCAGGAAACAAGTGTCACTTCCCCACTGCGCACAGGCAGAGGCTGATCTCAGGAAGGGGAGTCCTTCACCCAAGGTCTCCATGGCAGCAACGGGCAGGACTAGAGTTCAAACCCTGTTGTCTGTATGCATGCATCATCCTGCTGCCCCTTGGGAACCACATCAGGCTCTTCATGAACCTGTTCTGGAGGATCAAGATTGTCGCAGAGGTTACTTGGGGGTCCCTTAGCTGTCACCGTGCCTTTTATTTCCAATGAGGCCGTTTCAGTGAGTCACATAGGTTCTCTCTGTTTCCCCTCCCCACCCCCCAAATGCTGTCATGCAATGGGGATTCTCCCTTACTCTGCGGAAGCCAGGTACCTGTTTGTAGTGGTTGCCCAGGGTCAGCACCCGAGCAGAGCCAGGCCACCGTCCTCCCGGCCTGAGGCCCCGGCTGCCCTCCTGTGTCATAAAACCTCTCCCAACAAGATTTGAACATCTACAACCCCCGCGGCTGAACTTCACAGAAGGACCCTGTGGTCCGCTAATTACCATATCTATCCATCACCATCCACCCTGGAGGGCGGCACCCCTGTTTTAGCTTCAGACCGGTTCTACCTTGGAAGATTTGGCTGAAGTAATAATAATGTAAATACTAGCAACATAATTACTACTACTACTAGCTTACTTATCAAGTAGTATTAATACTGCTACTACTAGCTTACAGTTATCAAGAATATGATGTATTCCAGGCACCAGGCTGGGCCCTGTGAAGACAGGTACTACCTTATAACCTTCACTTTGGGATTCTGAAGAAACCAAAGCTCAGAGAGAAGTAGGCTAAGGTCACACAGCTGATTAGTGGCAGAGCTGAGATTTGAGCCTGGGAACATCTTATTTCAGAGGCTGTGCTCATTAAAAAAAACTTTAAAAATATCTATTTATTTTTGAGATTGAGCACGAGTGGGAGAGGGGCAGAGAGAGGGAGACACAGAATCCGAAGCAGGCTCCAGGCTTTGAGCTGTCAGCACAGAGCCTGACACGGGGCTTGAACTCATGAACTGTGAGATCATGACCTAAACTGAAGTCAGATGCTTAACTGACTGAGCCACCCAGGCACCCCTATACAGATTTTAAAAAAATGTTTATTCATTTTTGAGAGAGAGAGAGACAGAGACAGAGACAGAGACAGAGACAGAGAAGCAAAGAGAGAAGGAGACACAGAATCTGAAGCAGGTTCCAGGCTCTGAGCTGTCAGCACAGAGCCGGATGTGGGGCTGGAACCCATGAACTGTGAGATCATGACCTGAGCTGAAGTTGGACACTTAATCAACTGAGCCACCCAGGTGCCCCAAGGCTGTGCTCGTTTTAGCCAATTTGTAGTGTATTGGGAACTTTATCTGCTAAGTACTTGCTTCTTGAGTAGGTGAAATGGGCACACTCAAATACTGAGGTGAGCTCTGTTCTGTGTGTGGGGCGATTCCTAGGCCTTTAAACCTTGTGGGGGATGCCTCTGTGTGTGTGTGTGTGTGTGTGTACAAATGTATCTGAGAAGAAATTGGCCTAATATAAGAAGAGGTTTAAAAAATCAACTGCTGGGGTGCCCAGCTGGCTCAGTCACTAGAGCATGTGGCTCTTGATCTCCGGGTCATGAGTTCAAGCCCCACATTAGGCGTAGAACTCACTTAAAAAAAATCTACTGCTTTGTACAAGAAACCTTGCTCTGATACTAACTCATGTGGAAGGGGTGCCTGGGTGGCTCAGTGGGTTGAGCGTCTGACTTCGGCTCAGGTCATGATCTCATGGTTTGTTGGTTTGAGCCCTGCATCCGGCTCTGTGCTGACAGCTAGCTCAGAGCCTGGAACCTGTTTCGGATTCTGTATCTCCCTCTCTCTATGACCCTCCCCTGCTCATGCTGTCTCTCTCTCTCTCTCAGAAATAAATAAAACATTTTAAAAAATTTAAAAAAAGAAAAGGATTTGCACCTAACTGCAGGTTCAACGTGTAAATATGGCCGCTCAGAAATGACGGTGTTCGTGGGAATTCTGAGAAGAGATGGGCAGGTGCTGGCCTTTGATGGTGCCCCCGAGTCCACACGTGGAAGGCTCTGTGCTTAGTTCCGGCCAGCACTTTTTAGGGGGTCCTGGGCAGCCTGTAGTGTGCCCAGAGGATGGGGGCAAGCCAGGGAATCTCGAGGAGGGGCCACGATAAAGGGCCTGGGGACCAGGTGGCAGATGTTTGAGAGGGACCTGATCATGACGTTCCAAACACTGTGTGTGGGGCTTGTGGGAGCTAATAAAGGTCACCCCTCTTTTCCCTGTCTCCATCAGGAACCAGTTGAGGGACTGACACAGGAGCAAGGGCAAATGGCGACAGAATCACTTTGATCACTTTTATTACTGATCAAGCTGCCGGGGAAAGTGGCTTGGGGTCTGCGAGCCACGTAGGCTTGCTGGGACCTCATCCCTGAACATGATGCTGCCTCCAGACACAGGGGCTGGGAGTGGCCGACAGCTGCTTCTGTGTGTCACTGTGTGACCTCTCCATGGAGGGACGGCTGGTGACAGAGAGGGAGGGCGGGGCCGTCCAAACCCACCAATCGGAAAGTCTCTGCCTTTCCTGGGGAGAGGAGTCAGGGAGGGGAAGAGCCCAGGAAGGCTGCTTGAGTGGTAGTCCTTCGATAATGAGAGAGGATCAGGGAGTAAGGGTGCCCCCCCACAGGTACAAGAAGGGTTAGAATGGAGAGTTCCCTGTGACAGGACTAGCCACCAGGGAAAGATTAGCCGGAAGCTCACTGGTTTCAGTCCCACATAAGAAAAAACCCACATTGGGTGCTGTCTGTGTGCCTGTGCAGGAAAGGAGGTCTGAGCAGGTGCAGAACGTTTGCGTCTCTCATGTTAAAAGAAAGGTCTGGCCCCTGCCTGGCTCCTGGGAGATAACCTCTCAATCCTTGCAATATGCTGTCTGATAAGACTGTCTTTGTTTACCTGGGGCCTTGGGCCAAGCCAGACAGTTCATGCTAACAAGATGATTCACATGGCGGGAACCCTGGGCCAGGCTGTATCAGCTTGACCTCTGGAGGGGCTAGAGACTGAGTAAGGTCAGCCATGGAGATGCTCCAGGCCAGGTGATAAAACACCAGTAAAGAGCCTGGACACCAAGCTTTGGGTGAGCCTCTTGGCTGACGGTAGTTCATACGAGTTGTCACACGTTGCTGCTGGAACACATAAGCCTTGTCCCTACAGCCCCACTGGGTGGAGACAACTGGTAGTTTATGCCTGGTCTCTCCCGGACCCTGTCCTGTGCTCCTTTTACCTCTGCTGGGCTTTAATTGCATCCAGTAGTTGTAATAAACTGCAATCGTGTGTATAACAGCTTTCTTGCTCTTTGAGTAGTTCTAGCGAATCACCGAACTTGAAGGCGGTCTCAGGGACCCGTCACACCGGGTCAGATGCACTTGATGTTTCATCCACAATAACCTTGCAATCTAGGCGCTATGATCCCCTTGGCAGATGAAGAAACTGAGGCATAGAAAGGTTACGTAACTGTTCTAGGATCTAGAGGACTCTAGGGTTCCCTCTTTTGACCACCATTTCACACCAAAGGAAGGGACTTGCAGTAATGGGCTGACCCCCTTTGCTGGAAGGTCCCATGGGGGCGGCCCCAAGGCCCTCCAGGGGCAAGAAGATGAGTCATCCTGCAGTGATGAGGAGGAGGCAGGAGGCTGGTGAGTTTCCTGTGTTGGCAAGCTCAGGGGCACATGTGTCCCGCTTGGGTTAGACAGGCATCCTGCCTGGAGACAGGGTGAAAGCCTCAGTGCCCTCTCCCGGTTTTCTCTGCTCTGGGGTTTCAAGCTTGCTTCTCCTCTATTTCAGCTACGAGCCACGGGATGCCCATTATGCTGACTTCTTTGAGGAGCCTATTTTTTCCCATGTAACAAGACATCTGAAGCAGATGATCAGTTTGGTAACTCGACAATGACAGGTCCGAGGTGGTATCTCTGTATCCTCTTTTCCCCCTTCCGCACCACCCACCCCCAGTCCATGGTCATGTGATGATGGCTGCAGGAGTCCCAGAATTGTGTCAGCGCTCAATGACTTCCAACCCAGGAAAGAAGTGGCAGAGCTCTTCTTGCAAGCCTCCTGCTTATAAGAGAGGAAACCCTTTTGCAGAATCCACCCCACCCCCCAGCCAGTTTTCTTTGCCATTTCTTTGGCCAGAGCTGGGTCCTTCGCCTATCCTAAACCAAGTGCGGACAAGAAGCAAGAAGCAAGCAGTTGTCACAACTCAGCCCCTGGGGCTGGGCGCCTCAGTTACCCAAGATCTGAGTTTCCATCAGAGGTGGGGGTGCTGTGGGATGGTAACCAACCCCACCTGCCCCCACCTCAGTCTTCCCTTCTCTGCTTATTAGATACTGAGGATCAGGAAGAAGAGTGCTCTGGGAATGGCATGGCGGTCACATGGTGGGGGAAGCATGGATTTAGGTCTAGGGACTGAGGACATGGACCGCATGGAGGTGTGGAGCGACAC